ATATGAATAGGACTGTTCTGTGTCACTAACTAAATTTCTGTCTTCCAAGGTGCAAAAATTAGATCTGAAGCCTTTTTTTTTTTTTTTTTTTTTTAGGGCTAAGCACATTCTTGCATGATCAGTCTACTTCTACCTCTCAATTCTATAAGCCTCCAGGATAGTCTTTATATTAAAATTCAGTAATTACCCTCTGCTAACTACATTGTTCAGCCCAATAATTTTCTTGACTATTGGTCTTATTGTTGGTGGTTCAAACCAACCAGCCACTCTACAGAAGCAAGACTTTTACTTCCGTAAAGATTTACCACGGAAATCCAGTAAGGATTGCTATGAGTTGGAATCAACTCAATGGCAGTGGGTTTGGGGTTTTTGGTTTGGTTGGTCTTATTATCTCTGGTGAAACTATGACATCTTTATAGACAGATTTTGTAGTGGATTCCTCTCCACTGAACTTCTTGGACATCTATTTATCCTGCAATCTCATTCACTCTCATTAGAAGAGATCCTTAGATTCTATCAAATAGAGGGAAGAGACTATTTTAATTTCATGCCTTCAGTTTCCTTGTTCCTTGTTCTCATCACAGCCTGAGAAGACACCAATGTCATACCTGTAGAGGCAGAATTTATATTTCAAAACCTGCTTCCACTATAGTGGAGGGGGAATACTCTTGCTCTCTCTTACCAGAAAATGTATATTTCCAGAGGGAAGCCACCTCTCACTCTTCCTTCTTTTCCCATGTCCTTTTCAGAAGCATACAACCAGGTTCAGCCAGTATATTCTATCTAGCTAACAAAAGTTCATATATCTGTAAATTATCAAAGTTGAGTGGGATTTTATTAAGAGCCTTCTGAGAATTTATGGCAGAGCTGCCATCAGAGAACCCATATCTCTCAACTCAAGGCTCCAATATACCACAAGAGTACTTACAGCAGGCTAGCTATGCCCAGAAATGCAATCTGAGATGAGTGTGTTGCCAATCAACAAAGGCCCTACTTCCACAAGTCTACACGATAAATCACAATGGTCTGATCTGCAACTTACCATGAAGATCGTGCAGGACCTGGCAGCAGTTTGTTCTGCTGTGCATGAAGTTATGGGGCCTACTCAATGGCAGCTAACAACACTACCTGAGGGATCTATGCTCAAACCTGGGTGGGCGTATCTCTAATTAAAGGGAAGGAAGTTCTCAGAGACAAAAATGAACAACCACCACAAAATAAAAACTGGTATTATTCAGGTTATCCCATAGAGAGAGCATCTGAGATCTAAACACCTTAGCAAAGTAGTTTTGTTTTAGATTTTTATAGGAAGGCAGGCAGGATGACACACAGCTGTGATTGTTTTGCCATAAGGGGAAATTTTAATTGGTTAGCTGAACAAAGCATGTTTATCTCTGGGTACAGCTAGTTTCAAGGACACTGTAACAATGGCTCAGTGGAGACATCTGATCTCCTCTAACTTCACAAAGGAGGAGAGTCAAGATTAATGCCTAAGGCTGATTGCTATGAGGCAGAGGACAGACATACATCTACCTCCCAAGGTTTTTAACAATTCTGACACCAACTGTCCCTCCAATAGTACTCTCTACGTCTCTGCTGGGTTAGATAATTAGTTGCCATGGCATGGCCAATACAATTATGTGGTTTATTAGGGAAATAACAGGTTATTATCCAGGTTCAGAAAGGCTCAGGATGCAGTTTTTTGATCAGGACAGCCTCTTCTCAGCTGCAGGCAGGTCTCTCTCTGGCCCATAGGCCCCTCAGCCTTGCCTCTGGCAAGTGTTAAAAGGCTCTTAATTCTGTTGATAAGTGCCCATGCACCCCACTCTACAAGCAAGCCTCAACCTGAAGGTATGCAGCTTTCTGGCTCTTTGGGTCAGGAACCCCACTACGCTATTTCATGCCAGTATCTTGGATCTGCTGCCTCTGCTGCCACTGTTTCTCTGCTATTGCTTCTCCTTGTCTCTTGCCATTTTAGGTGTTACAGCTCTCTGTCTCCCAGATATGGGAGGTTCCCAGCACAGGGACCCCAGGTCAAAAGGACTTGCTCTGCTCGCATCTCTTCTTATTGGTAGTAATCAGGTCCCTTCTTCTCTGCTTGGTTCTCTCTTCTTTTATCTCTTGTAAGATAAAAGGTCACTCAAGCAAGGGTATGACTTCAGTAAAGCCATGAAGGGTAGTTACACCCTCTAATAAGATGGTGACTCAAGATACATCCCACCCTACAGAAAACAAAGATAAACCCTTTTGCATGTACAGTACTGCATTGTCAGTAAAGGCAAACATGGATATACAAGTGGATAGAGGGGTGGACATGCTGAATGATCAGGTATGTCTAGGCAGCAGGGAGTGTGCCCATGACCATGTATAGGGTTGGCAGACAATATTTCTACAAGCATATTTGTATGTGTTGTAAGAATGTCTGGGTGTATAGTAGAACTGACAAGGGACAAGGTAGTGAACTTGTTGGCCACAGCTAGCTACCCTAAAGGAGCTCTGGTAGCATAGTGCCTGAGGCACTTGACTGATAACTAGAAGTCTGGTGGTTCAAACCCACCAGCCACTCATCCAAAGGAAGGTTGGACAATCTACTTCCATAGTGATACTGCCTCAGAAACCCAAGGAGGGGTCGCTATGAGTCAGGTCCGACTCAACGGCACACAACAACATGGTGAGTAGCAACTGGGGTCTTAAAATCTTGCAAGCAGGCATCTAGATGCAACGATGGGTCTGTCCTTATTCACAGCAAACAAAAATGAAGAAAACCAAAGACACGTGGAAACAATTAGTGCAAATAAACCATGTGATCCTCAGCCTCAAAGACCACAAGACTAGAAGAACAAGATGGTGTCCGGCTACCACCGTCAACCTCGGGGAGGTGGATCAGCACAGGAGATTCTGGACAGAGTGGTAGAACAATGTGAAACAAAGCTCAAAATCATTAAAAAATATATATTAAAAAAATAAAAAAACAGATTTGCTGGTCTGATAGACCCTGGTGAGACCCTGGTGAGACCCCTGAGACTACGGCCCCTAGTTACCCTTCAAGACTGGAATTGAACTCACTCCTATGATTTCCAGCCAAACAACAGACAGGCATATGGGGTGAAAATTTACATTAGGTAGATACACTCCTTGGAGCGATCAGTCAGGGGAGAACAGAAGGGTAGTGCAGTGTTTGCACAGGGAGACAGCTCAGGGGGGCGGGAGTGCATGGGAGAGAAGCACACAGGGAAGAGGTAACTACAGGGAGGAAGTGGGAAGAAAGTTGTTACATTGTGGAGAATTGCAGTCAATGTCATGGAACAAAATGTATATGAACTGCTGTATGAGGAATGAATTTTCTCTGTGAACTTTCACCCAAATCACAATAAAAATTGAAGAAAAAAAAAAAGATACTTCCTACCCTAACCCTTCCTCATTACTGTAACAGACAACTCACTTCCAAAATGGGAACATAAGCACAGGCATGAAACCAAAAACCAAAATCACTGCCATCAAGTTGATACTAACTCATAATGACCTCCCACCCCTATTGGTTTCTGAGGTGGTAAATCTTTATAGAAGTAGATTGCCCAGTATTCCTTCCGCAGAGGCTGGTAGGTTTGAACCAGCAACCTTCTGATTAATAATCAAATGCCTTAAGCACTGCACCAGAGGCTAGAATTTATAACATCACAAAATGGAGTATGGCTAGTAGGGCTATACACACACACACACACACACACACTCACACACATACTGCCCTGCAAGGGGATCCAACTAATAGCAACCCCTCTTTGGGTTCCCCAGGTAGTATCATTATAGAAGTAGATTGGCCAACCTTCCTTTGGAAGAGCAGCTGCTGGGTTTGAACCTCTAGCCTTCTGGTTAGCAGTCAAATGCCTTAGGCACAACACCAACAGAGCTCCCAGAAGGGCTACACTGCACCACAAACGCAGTTTTATTCTCACCTAATTATTCATGAGATAATAAAATAAAACAGAAAAGAGTAAGTCCGAAGGTCCGTCAGAAGGCTTGTCAGATGGTTCAAGCAAAAGGGGAAAGGTGTGCATTAGACGTTATCACAAGTAAACAAGGGGGTCATCTGTGAGTCTTATGGGAGTCACAAAAAAGGACATCGAGATTTATCTAAGTCATACATGGAAGGGTGGTCCTTACAGTAAGCCCCTTCCAGAAAAAGGGTGTGAGGCAACCGTCCTTCTTTTACTGGCGCCCCAGGCGCAGGAAAAGTTCACCCTCTTTCGGGTTTCATCAGGGGATCTTTATGAAAGCAACTAATGGTACTTTCTACCTTTGGCCAAATGGCTTAGTAAGATGGACATTAAGTCGTTTTAAAAAATAAAGCACGAAAAATGTCTACAAAGGCAGCACTCCTGATACCGCTGGTTACTAACACATCGTCTCACTTCAGGCTTTCAACTACAAGTCCCAAAGAGCAACGGGGCCCTTCCCCTGCCAAGTAAGGGCGGGAACTAAGAGCTTTGGTGTATGATGGGAATTGGTGTTAATTGGCAGTACGATGGAAAATGTAATTTAGTGGGTCTCATTTTCCGAGTGACTGAGATGTGCCTCAAACAAGAAGCTGAGGCAGAACCACGAGGACAGACCAAGGCAGTCCTGGGAGGAGGTACTTAACCGACGCCAAAGAGCCTCCTCAATTTTCCCAGCAGTCTCCTTTCCGGCCGGGCCTTACGTCATTGCCGTTTTGTCTTCCCATTGGCCAGTTGACAGGTGGCAGCGCCTGCGCACTGTAGCCCTCTGAGGGTCGTGCGCAGACGCCATTTTGGTCCCCCAGGCGCTTCTGGGAGGTAGAGAGGCGTCCCTCACGCCTGCCCGTTTGCTGCTTTTAGCTGTTGTCTTGCTCTCTGCTGCCCCAAACGCTGTGCTAGGGCGAAAGGCTCAGGGCACCAGGCCGCACCTTCGAGGGACACACCGCGGGAAGGAGGTGACGCGGGCGGCGCGGGGCGCGGACAACCCCCGCGGACAGCCTGCCCAGCATGGACTCGGAATATTACAGCGGTGACCAGTCAGGTGGGGCAGGGGCCTGGAGGTCAGAGTTAGGGGGCGGAGCGGTTACTGTGCGGGCCCTGCCCTTACCCAGCGGTAAGGGCAAGTGAGGCGGCAGGCCTAGCAGAAGTTTCCCGTTCTGCTTTGGCCGGAACTGAAATAGTGAGATGAAGCGGGAAGGGCCCTGGCTGCGGGGCCTGAAGTTAGAACCTTGGAGAGGCGATTTTAAAGAGAAAGGCGTCTTCTGTATTGTCTAAGTTTTTGCTGACTTTAGGAAGCCACTTCAATTTGTTAGGCTTTTGTGTGCAAAACGGAAAAAAACAAACTCAATGCAGTCGAGTCGCTTCCGACTCTACATCACCAGAGCGCCTTTATGTGTCCAAAGTACCAGGAAAAAGAAGTCTCTTCAGTTAGAGGGTTTTTCAGGAGTTAGTGTTTTCGAGACTCTAGTGGAGCATTTTCCGTGGAAGTGGGGATCCCATCTAGACTTTCACCAAGGTGCGCTGTTGTGTGTGGTCGAGTCGAGTGGTAGTTTAATCTCGTCTACAAGGCTGGCTACCAGTAAATAATATTAATAGCTTTAAAAAAAAAAAAAAAGTAAGACCTTTCAGTTTTATAAGTATTTTAGAATAAGAGGTTCACCACAGCCCTTTACTTATTAGTGATTTTAGGGCCTTTCCTAACCTTGAGATCTTCTTTTTATCCTCGCCGAAGTTGCTTATTCCTCCTTTTCTATTTATTCAGTAAACCCTTAGTAGTCCCATTCTGTGCTAGTACAGTACTTAAGCACTGGCAATACAAAGATGAGTAAGTCAGGGCTGGTGGCTCAATATCTAAGGTATTTGACTGCTAACTAGAAGGTTGGTGGTTCAAACCCAACAGCTGCTCCACGAAAGGAAGATGGGGCAATCTACTTCCTTGAAGATTTACCTCCTTGGAAATCCAATGGGGGCCCCTGTGAGTCGAAAATGACTCCATGGCAGTGAGTTTGGTGTATTTCTTGTGTAAAACCCATTGCCGTCCAGTCGGATCCGACTCATAGTGACCCCTCCTTGGGTTTCAGAGGTAGTATCACTATGGAAGTAGATTGCCCAACCTTCCTTCGGAGGAGTGACTGGTGGGTTTGAACCAGTAGTCTTCTGGTTAGCAGTCAAATGCCTTAGTCTCTACGCCACCAGAGTAGAATGACGTTTATGTGTCTTACAGCCTTACAGGGACTTTCACTGGAGCAGGTTATTTCCATTGGGCATTCTATGTCAAAAGAACTTAAGTAATTGTTTAAGGGTTCACTTTAATTCCTTATACATGGCAGTGAATAGCAATGACTGCAAAAATGCTTTTCCAAGCATGAACTCTCGTTTTGCTTCAAACATTTCCTGATGCTTTGAAAATAGCTTTTCATTCATTAAAAATAATTTTTTTTTTAATTGTGATTTGGGTGAAGATTTACAGAGCAAATTCACTTTCCATACAGCAGCTCACATAAACTTTGTCTCATGACATTGACCACAGTTTACCACAATGTAACAGCTCCCCTCCCACTTCCTCCCCATAGTTACCTCTTCCCAGTGTCCATCCCTCCATGGACTCCTATCCCCTGAGCTGTCTCCCTGTACATAAGCAGCCCTTCTTTCTCCCATGATTGTTCTCTCCAAGGAGAGTATCTACATGAGGTTCAACTCATATGCCTGTCTTTTGTTTGGCTGGAAACCACAGGTGTGGGTTCAATTCCAGACCTGAAGGTCAGTTAGGGGCCATAGTCTCAGTGGTTCCACCAGGCTCTATCAGATGAGCAAACCTGGTACCCCCCCTTCTTTCCCTCCCCCCAAATGGTTTTGAGTTTTGTTCCACATTGTTCTCCCTCTCTATCAAGGATCTCCTACATAGATCCCCTTCCAAGGTAGCCAAGCACCATCTAGTTTTTCTGGTCTCATAGTCATATAGGCTGCAGATTGGATGGTGTACCCGTCGCTAGGACTAATTGTTTCCATGACTTTTTGGTTTTCTTCATTTTTCTTTGCTCTGGACCAGGAGAGACCCATCTAGATGGCAGCTTGCTAGCTTTTAAGATCCCAGTCGCTACTCGCCA